TTCTGGGAGTTGAAGTTTATTGAGGGTGCTTAAAGTTGTCAAGAGACCTCCCATTTCCTCACAGAGCTACAGTTTCTAGAGTTCCCTGAGAAGAGGGAGTGATAGTAAAACCACTCAGGGAATTGTAGCTCTGGGGGTAGAATAGAGGTCTCCTAACAACTGACAGCACTCTTAACAAACTATGGGGAAAGCCATGTCTGTCTCAGGTGGGATCACAGTGCTTTAAATATGTGGCCTGAAACTAAGGAGGCAGAAGGCTGTCAGCCAGTGCTAATCCCTGGACTGGTTGTAGGGCAAGCCAAGTGGGGCTGGCTGTGAGCAGGCTTGAGGTGAGTCAGACAGCGCCCCATTCACCCAAATGGACCAGCCTCCCCTCCCCAGATGCCGCTGCACTTGAATTCTTCATCTTCCCCCCTGCACAGATCTTGCACGTCTGGTCCCTTAAATTCTTTTCAAAGACAGTTTACTTAACAGTCAGCTGATATATCTCAGCATGAATACAGAGCACTAAGGCACCACCTTCTAATTTCAAGCATTCTGCATAAATACTAATTAAGAGTCAATAACTCGTATTACCAAATAAGATCATGACAGGCCCAGAAACTCCCGAAAATGCCCCTCTTGTTTTCAGTGATAAACAAAAGGCAATTTCCCCCTGCCCGTGATTGTATTAGGATTTTGGAGCATGTTCAGGGTATGTTGTAACACTGAGCACCACACACATGGGAATTCACTGTAGGAAATTTACTACTCTTGACCACAAATAAAATAAAATGAGCTACTTAGTGGTATTAGTTCTAAGCTTCGTTTGAGCAAAGTTGTCAAATATGGGTTCTCTAGTTTTACGTAGGGGAGGAGATGGGTTTTTTGTTGCCTGCCCCTTATGGGAAAAGAGCGATAGCTTTCTTGGTTCCTCTCTAGTTGTGCACTGCCAAAGTAATCCTTAATGGATTAAGTTTTGTGAAATAAATGCTGCAAATAGAATGTGGGCTGAGATCATTTAAAACTCATTTCCCCTGTGACCCCTTGAAGTCCTGGAACCTGTCAAGTACAGTCAGCCTGTTTGTTCAGTGTTAGGTTTTCAGCCTCCCCAGATGCAGAAAACGGCTTGTTTTTCACATACTTTCTCTGATGGTATTATGAAAAATGACATTTTTCACTTGATTCCATGCACTGCAATAAAGCTTGCAATGGCGGAAAACAGTCCACAGTTCATCCAATACTGGGATGGTGTTCAAAGAAAATACATTTGAGCTTCAAGTATTTGAAGAGAAGAGATCCAAGAATGGCGAAACAATAGCGTTTAGTCATAGCAAAGCCCTAGTTCATGTGGTATTAAAGCTGTTATTGAATGACATAGTTCTTTCAAAGGATTCACCAGGGTGCCCAGGACATTCGTTAGAATCGCAAGAACTGGAGGAACCATGACGTACAGCATTTGCCTCAGGTGGGTGATTTCTAATCACTGCTAAGTGAAAAAACCAGAACTTCCTGTTGGATCACTTGGCCATTCAGGGGCTATATTGAACCCACCAACTTTGTAGATTTAGGACCAGCCAACTAAGACAATAGTCTTAAACCTGGTGCTCCCATGCGCTGTATTAAATTAACGAATGCACACATGGCAGGAAAAGAAACTATCACCCCCAAGATAGTGAGGTTTTTTGTGTTTTTTTTAACAGTCACCACTTAACAGGCAAGTTACGCATCTGGAAGGAAGTACGCTGCAATGACAAAGACAATGGGTGTGAGATAGCCCATCTGGGCAAGTCTGCAGTTTCCTGTGATGTGGCGAAACCAGCACGCAGCGTCTCATTGCAACTCTTGGATCATTTTTGAATTTCTAGATAGCTGGGGTATGGAAATGTACAAGGAGTGCCTACAGAAGACCTGAAAGGCATCATAACTAATGCTCGTTATTTAGGTTTTTCTTGTGCTTACAATAAATGCACACAGGCTTACTTAATTTCTTCCTAACCACATTCAAACGTTGCCTTGGGCTGGCTGAGGCTGATGGCAGTTATGGTCCCATCTGAAGGACACCAGGTTGCTGAAGAATGCCTTACACACAATCTAACCTGGGAGTTGTGACCAACTGCTGCCTCTCGTTTCCTGCAGAGTTTCTCAGTGCTATCTGTTCGCTTTTCTCCAGAAGAGGCACTTCCTTTGTTACCTTAATGACCCATAGTTTGGAGGCCATCATGGCCCCGTGCCTGGCTAATTCAGCAATTGAATCCGTGCTGGGTTTTATTTGGTTTTGGGGTGGGTGTTTTGTGCTGCAGATAGGAGTCCTTTTGAGTCCCTCCGCTCCCCCACCCCCCGCCACCACCCAGAATTAGCCAACAAGAATGCTTTATAGCATTTTGCAGTGGTTGACTCATGTAACCATCTAACAAAATACTGTTTGCATGTGATCATCGCACTGCCACAAAATCAGCATCTTTCCCCATGTTTACTGAGTTAACATGCTGGGAAACCAGCCACAGGAACTTCATTTGGAGCTAATCTGAGCTCCCTTTGATAAACGTGGGGAAATACCCTTGCTTTTGTACAGGCCACGCTTCTTGTCAGCACAATAAGAAATAGCTGCAAGCCTGAAAACGAGGCCCTACTTTGTTTCTCAACTTATCATTCACCGTTTTGCCTGGAAATGATCATAATAATGACACTGTAGCACATCACTTGCTGACACTGGTTTTCTCGATCAGAAATCTACAGGTTAGAAATCCAAGAGGTTAGGGTTACAATTGAACAGTTATGAGTTCATAATTGTTTTCATCTTCCTTGTGAAATTATTATAAATACAGTCGTAACTTGGTGGTCAAATGCCTTGGTACTCGTACATTTCGGCTCCTGAGCGACCAAAACCCGGAAATGAGTGTTCCGGTTTTCGGACTTTTTTGGAAGCCGAACATCCAATGCAGCTTCCGCTATTGTTTCCAGGATGCCTGGAAACAACTGGAAGCGCATCGGAAGCCGCGCCTTGGTTTCTGAATGTTTTGGAAGTTGAACCGACTTCTGGAATGCATTCTGTTCAAAAACCAAAGTACGACTGTACATAACCAGAGGTTAATCAGTATATTATTATAAACACGTAGCCAGAGATTAATCAGAATGAAGCAGGAAGGCTTCAACTTAAATAGTTAAGAAAATCTTTATTTCAATGTGAATAGTGCTATTTAAGACTAAATCAGCTACATTTCTTGAACTAATTAAGGGTAACACAACTCATCAGCCTTTTTGTCACCTTCACTGTTTTGATGTGTGTGTGGCGGGGGTGGGGAATCTTGGTTTATTAGACGTTTCTTTTTAAAGTAATTAATGTTAATCAAAAATCAAAAATCACAATCATCAGCTTTTGCCTATTCAATTTTATTTAACATAAGTAAAGTACACCTGCAAAATAAATGAAGATTCCAAGCATTTCACTAAAGGAACATCAACAGAATTCTGCAGATTTCATTCCAAATCCCAACCACGCAGCTGAGGAACTGAGGCTGCAGCGTGGGTATCAGTCCTTTATTAGCAAGTCCCACAATGACACAGAACAGTCTAATTTAGACTAGTGGCACAGCATTCTAGGCAGGTGCTAGGACACAGAAATTCCCTCCTTGATCTTAGCTTTAGCAAAGCCATGTAATTGAAAGCTAGGGTCTCATAGCTATGCTCGGTTCCAGGGTTGTTCGCTGCTGCCACCAAAACAGTCCCAGGACAGAAAAGAGCTGGGGACCTCAGCCTCCACTTGCAATCAAGGCTAGCAATGAGAAGAAGCTCGTAGTGCCCTTGATATGTCCGTGTGATGGTCTGGTGTATCATAATCCATGGTGTACCCACCAGTGGTGTAATGGACAGAGAAGCATTCCCCAACATGATGCTCTCTAGGTGTTTTTGGATGACAATTTCCATCAGACCCAGGAAGCAATGGTCAGGAAGCATGGGAATCACGTCCAACTGCTTCTGCAGGGTACCAGGTTGAGAGAGGTTGGGGTGGTATTTGTCTTTGACCAGGAAGACCTGGGTTCAGAACTTCCTTCAGCTCATTGGGTAGCCCTTTAACCAGCCACTCTCTCTGATGGTCTAGTATTCTCAGTGCCACTGGGAGATCAAAATAACCCTATGTATGTGCTTATGGGAAGACAACTGGATATGAATAAGTGCAAAACTGCTTTTAAACTCGAGGACAGTAGTTTGCGATAGGGCCGGGGAGGCTGCAACTCAAAGATCAAATAAAGTGTGACATCCATTAGGCATGAGAAAACCCTTCAAAACTCCTAAAAAAGTAATGCAGTTGGGATGAAGGCATGTCTTCAGTGGTTTGTGCCTTGTGTACAAACCTTTCACTTTTCAGCTCACAGTTCCAAAAAAGAAAATGGGATAACAACAACAACAATTTATTATTTATATGTTGCTCATCTGACTGGGTTGCCCCAACCACTTTGGGCAGTTTACAATATATTAAAACACAGTAAGATATTAAACATTAAAAACTTCCCTATACAGGGATGCCTGCAGTAACAGATAAAATGTCCCACACTACCTAAAACCCACCTTATTCGATTTAGCACATAATTTATACAAGCCACAAGGGCAAGATACTTATGTGATATCCCCATGCAGCCATGAATGCAAATCCATGCGCACTGAACCATTCATATGCAAGGCGAACCTGCTAGCAAGGAATCAGTCCAGGCCATTGATTGCTGCCTTGCTAAAATTAATGTTGCATCAAGCATCTTAGGTACTTGTAAACATGGGTGGGTGAGACTCAAAAAGCCTTCCATGAATAAGCCTCAATCATTTTCTTGCATTTTTGGGTATAAATCAGACTTTAATTAAAAGATGCTAAGAAGTTTAAAATGTTACCTTGGAGGCAAAATGATGAGCTGGTTTAATCACAATTCCCTAGGATTCATATTAAAGCCAAGCCTCCCACAACTTCCTACATGAAAGGCTGTTGATAAAAGACATGAGAAAAACAAAACAAAGAAAACGGTTCTTACCTATTGTTCTTCGAAGATCATCACACTGACTAATATGTGGAAACTTCAGAATTTCCTTCCACTTTTTGCTTTTCCCTTTGCGCTTTCCTCCACCCCCTGCAGGAGTAGAAAAGAGATGGAGATTAAGTTCTTTACTGTATTCTGTTCACATCTTTCCTATTCTTCCACACATCTCAGCTGTGGGACGCAGATGCATGCATGCGCAGAGTGTTCAAGGTTTTGTGTTATTGGTGTACGGTAGTTGGATGGGGAATCATGAGCACTTCTTCTTGGCCTTGCATGAATAAACTGCTGTGGGCAGCACAACACACCCCTTTTGCAGAAGAAAAACTGACGATGCTCAGAAACCCACCCCCAAACAGGCAAAACAGCTTACACCCCCCCAAACAAATTTAAAGACCCATAAAAAGGAGGCCACAACTGTCAGAAAACAGGACACATGTATAGTCCATCCCTAGCTGTGGCGGAACAAGAGATTACTTGCCACAGTACAACCCCAAAAGGAGCTGTATGAACCTGCCTCATCAAACCCCTTTGTCTAAATAATATTATGGGAAATAGAAAAATGACTGTAATTACTAGGTCTGGTCCAAAAGCTGCCTGCACTATTCCAAATGTATGTGTACATATACAAAACCAGCAAAAACATTAGAGCCCTGCCAAGTTCTCCACTCTGCCCCCACCCCAGACTTTTGGCTTTCTCTTTTGAAAATTTATATTAGAAAATATTTGGCCAGTCAATGTACAGAAAAGGTAGCTGTTCTGCTCCTCACAATTGTGGTAGAAAGAGTTAGCCTTGTGTCCAGCTGGATGAGGTCATTAGGAAAGAACAGCTTTACAAGTGACAAATAAACAAAGTCCTTGGAGTAGTCAGATACCTGTATCATGCATTAATAACATAGAGGTAATACGAATTCCTACCTATCAATGCATTACCAAATTAATGCATTAAAAATCAGACAGAGTCGTCATATTTGGAAAATATCAGATTCACCCTCAGAGCTGGCATGTCTGCATGTACAGAGACACTTCCCATTTTGGCGTGGATAATTTGCTTCGAAAATGATCTAGCGAATTTCTGACACTTCCAGTCTCATTCCACCTGAAAGCTATTTACAGGTCCCATTGACTGTTCCATCTTCCGGTTCCTTTATTCCTCAGTCATTGCATTCATCTCCTGCACACTTTTTATTCAAGAAATATATCACTCTGTGTTTCTGGAATTTATTACAGATGCATCTTCCATGAAATGCCATCACAGGCCTTTCCAAAACTCTGCATTTCTGTCTTCTAATACATGCATCCCTGCTTCTTCAATTTTATATACATATGCACACACACAACACAACACACATTTCTCCTCCTCTTCTCTGTCTTGGAGTCTTATCTTGCCGTACCTTTCACAGTTTTAGAAAGAACTCTACTCTCTGGTTTTAAAAATCACCCTGGGGAATTCACAGAGCTACATAAACACTAATTACGGAACAGAATACAAAACAGTTGGCTAGAGCGTCCTTATCAGACTTGGCAATCTGTAGACTCCTTTACTCACAGCAGTAAGGAGAAGATGGAATAGCTATTACAAGTATTAAATACTGAAGAACAAAAGCAATGAAAAGCAATTATGGTGCAAATTAAGCAGAAGCAAAAGTTGTTACTATGTGAGCAAGATACGGTATAAATTACTCTGGGTGAAAAAGGTATGCACGGGCATACCAAAATGATGTGTGGTTTTTTGAAACATGAATGTCTGCCAAGATTGGGGTGGGGAGAGGCTGGAGTTCCCTAGTTACAAGCATGATTGGTGCACAGTATAGCCAATGGCTTCTCCCCTCCTGTTCCTCGTCCTACAAAAACAGCAGCATCAGTTGATGACTCATTTGCTTGTATCCGAGCGTAATATAGCGGCACTCTTGAGCCTGTGACGTCTTTACGTTAAAGATTCCAATCAACTGCTTTAATCTGTCTGACCTTTCCAGCTTGCAGCCTGTCTCTTGAAAACCATCCTCGCTTGGCTCGCTCCAAATGCAGTTCGGCACGACGACGAGTGTACGTGTGCGTGTGTGTATGTTTGTGTGGGTTTGTGAGGACTTGAAGGACATAATGCACCGAGACAGCTGAGACAAGGTAAAATTGTCTGGCTGAGTGAAAAGCTAAAAGGAGGCATCTCGCTGGATACAATGGTAATTGCAGAGGTGTGAAAATGAAGGCTGTTCACCTCTCACTTTGATCCCTGCTGCCATGTTCAGAGGCTCACTAGGTTTCCATCGCAGCTTTTGCCACAAAAAAACTAGGTAGAAGAACAATACTGTATGCCTCAGTTTTACCATTTGGGCTTGAAGTTAACTGAATGAGTCTGACACATCAGGATTCTAGCTTGCACCATTGTGGGGTGGGGGGAATATGCCACTGGAGGGAGAGGGAGGGAGGGAGATCTGTGATTTTCATTAAAGACTCAGCATTTGGACAGAGCTCTTTGTACTGAGGTAAGCCACTCAGGTACTCTCACTGTGCAACAGTGCTAAAAGGATCAATAAGCAAGTTTTAGTGCTCAGCTGTGATCCGCATGAAATAGGGTTGTCATTAGTAGATATGTGGGAATTCACTGAATGGATGAAGAAATCTGACTGTTTAATGCCTCATTATGGGTATGGAAGTGGGGCTGGCCATGGCAGTCAGTGAATTTTGCAGCAACAGCAGAGGGCAGGGAAAGTCCAATCTAATACACGTGTGTGGAGGAGCTGCAATGTACCTGAATTGGTTGATTACCACCAAGTAGTTGGAAGAGGACTATCCCAGTGGCTAATTTCCAGTGGTGAGAGGAATCAAAACTAGCCTGAAAGCTATGTTAGGAAAACTCTAATCTCAGATAAATGGATTGGGCTGAGGTTATTCAGCTGGAAAGGCTGGTGGTGCTTGAAGGGTTAAAATATGCTCTTGTTCGGTCCAAACTGCATCAAAACAGCTGAACCCTAACAAACACAACAGTGAAACCCCATTTGTGTAAACCCTAGTATTCCCTGACAACATACTAATGGGGCCAAATTTTTCCCATGCTCAGCCTAGAAAGCACTGGAGAGAGAACCTTATCTGTAGTGGCTCGCACCTTACAAAATACCCTTCTGACAGATATACTGTATGGCTGACTCCATCACTTGCAATATTTTAAGAAACTTAAAAAAAAAACTCCACCCATTTCCCCTGGCTTTTACTTGAAGGTGTTATTGAATATGCTGCTGATGCAGTCTTTTTGCCATTTAAAAAATATTCTACGCTTATTAATTTTTTATGATATTTGACTTATTGCGCTGTATTATGTTTTCACCCATGTTGTACACTTCCCTAATATCTTTTTATTGATGAAAGGTGGTATAAAAATAAACGATCTCCCCGCAACCTTTCTTCTCCCAGTACTTATGTCCTTGCTTTCAGCATAGGAGCTCAGCTGAGAACAAAAGGACTGGGGGGAGATGGCAGGAAGATTACTACTTTGAGCAGGTTAGCATCCTACCACTTGTGTGCTTCCCCCCCCACCACATCACACCCTCCAAGTTCTTGCTTTTTAGGGGATTAGGCAGACCTGTATTTAAATCAACCAGATCCACTGACATCCCCTCCAAGTTAAACATTGAACATTCAGTGCACACAAAGTTTGGCGCAGGTTTGTTTTTCACATCTACACAATCTCCAACGATGCAGACAAACACAGAGAGCTCTTCCTCTCTCAGTGGCTGGTGACATGTCTGTGGGAAACAACCACAGCTGGCCCAGAGTTCTCTGAACAGTTGCTGCCTTGGGACCAGACCACTGAGCAGAGGTTCTCACGCAGCTCCAGCAACGTTCATCAACTTGGCGGGTCCAATGGACATCCTTTCCAGGACACAAACCCCCCCCCAAGAGATGGATTTCAGGTGCACTTACACTCACATCTACAACTGAATTTCAAACGCATCCATTTAAAATGAAATCTCGAAAGATAGAAAACAAACTGGAAGCCTTTTCAAATGCCTCAAAGTCAACATTTTCTCAGAGAGACACACACAGAGAGAGCCTTTTGTTTGCTCTCGTGCCTGGCCCTCAGGTTAAGACAGCACTAGCTCAGACGGCTTATTAACAGTTCTCATTACAGAGTCTATGTGTTTGTCTGGGAGTAGATAAAGGCTAAGTCTCTTTGTAAATAAAGGCAGCTTGGGGGATTGACAGTGAACAGATGTTCTGGTGGAATCCTACCCAGCACTTAATGATGCGATGTCAGAGGTCACAGGCTTAATTACCCAACGAATTAATGTTGATTAATGGCTGTTCCTCTCTTGTAATGTTGTTCACATCAACCATGATATCATGTGTTTACAAAAGGATGCTTTTATGGCGGAAAATAAACACAATGGAGAAGAATCCAGTCCCCAGAGGCAAACAAGGGACAATATCTTGGTTCCACGAAGTCAAGAGGGACTCCGTTATTGCTAATGGAAACCGGGATCCATGCTGAGACTGTATTAACTACGGTGGTTTCTGAATAAATTCTTTGGGGTCAATTTCCCCCCACCCCTTCAATATCCTATTATAATCCACAATTAATTGATTAAACAGAATTAAAAACATCCACACCACAATTACGGCTATATCAAGTGAAAAAAGCCATGCCATTTTCTTGGGTGAAGGGGTAGGGAGACATTTTATTATAGGTTGGTCTCAAATTTGAAACGATGTTGTCTGGACAACTCCAGGTGTTCCCAGGTGAAACTGATTTGTTATATTAGTTTGGTTTTAGGCATAGGTTTCACACAGATATTGCTGTGATCACCCAGACCTGTCTTAGAAATTTAGTTGCATGCTCTAGAGAGATTTGGAGTGTGATCCTATGGATTCTTGTGGACTTTGTTGTGACTTTTGGCAGTATTGACCATGGTACCCTTCTGGACCACCTCCCAGACAGAAGTAGGGATACCTTTCCGCAGTAGTTCTGCTCCTTCCTGGATGGCTGATCCCAGGAGGTGATGCTATGGTACTGTTGCTGTTCTGTGTGGAAATAGCACTATACCAGGCATGGGAAACCTCTAGCCCATGGGTGTAATCTGATTTACCAGGCTTTTTAA